GAAATATGCTTCTCACTCTCTGTCCATGCTGGAAAATAATGGCACAATAATCAGCGATATACAGGGTATTGCTGATTTATTGGGTGAAACATTTTCTGCTTCATCCAGCAATATTGTGTATTCAAGGAATTTTCAAGCTTATAAAGCCCAAAGAGAAAAACAGTGTTTAAACTTTTACTCCTCATCTAATGAGGAATATAATGTGCCATTCACTAGAATTGAATTACATACAGCAATCTCTCGCTCGGGGAATAGTGCTGTAGGCCCGGATAAAATTTACTACAGCATGATTAAAAATCTGTCAAATAATTCCCTTTGTAATCTTTTGCATCTGTTTAACAGAATATGGACAGAACATACTTTTCCTGACTCTTGGAGGCTATCTATCATTATTCCCATTCCCAAACCTGGTAAAGATCACAAGAATTTCTTTAATTACAGATTAATTTCTCTGACTAGTTGTCTCTGTAAACTTTTCGAGAGAATGGTAAACAGGCGTCTAATGTATCTCTTAGAGAAAAATGAATACTTTTCACCACATCAGAGTGGTTTTCGTAGGAACAGAAGTACCACTGATAACCTGGTAAACCTTGAAACATCTATATGCGAAGCGTTTGTTAGACGACAGCACTTCGTGTCTGTGTTTTTTGATATAGAGAAGGCCTATGATCGCTGTTGGCGATACGGGATACTCCGTGATCTACACCAATTCGGATTGCGGGGTAATTTGTCAATTTTTATAAAAAACTTCCTACAGAATTGAAGATTCTATGTCAGGATGGGCAACGCTTTATCTAGGCTCTTCACACAAGAAGAAGGTGTTTCTCAAGGTTCTATTTTGAGTGTGACTCTGTTTCTAATTAAAATTAACAGCATAGCTAACTGTCTTCCTCCCAGTGTGAAACACTCTTTGTATGTAGATGACTTTCAGATCTCCTGTCAGTCTAGTAATATGAGTTTCATTGAGAGACAACTTCAAACTTTCCTAAATCGCATATATGATTGGTCCAAGACCAATGAGTTTACGTTTAATGCAGCTAAGACATCGTGCATTCACTTCTGCCGAAGGCGTGGTTTGCACTCGGATCTTGAAATTCACCTAAATGGCGATAAAATTCCAATGGTGAATGAGGCTAAGTTTTTGGGTGTTTATTTCGACCCAAAACTGACATTTTTGCCACACTTGCGCAACCTGAAGAGTAGATGTTTAAAATCTCTAAACCTTTTAAAGGTACTATGCTGCTCATCCTGGGGAGCAGACAAAGTTTCTATGCTCAGGATTTATAGGGCCCTTGTCCGCTCTAAGCTGGATTACGGTTGCATTGTTTATGGCTCTGCGCGAGAATCTACTCTTCAGATGCTGGATCC